ACAAAAATAAGCAGTCGGAAGAAATATAGTAATATTGATGGTAGGCAAACGTCTGTCACCTGTAGCCAGGCTGCATCAATAGTGGTGAGAAAGGACGTAGCCACTGCTAAATACGACAAGCTCTCCTTAGACTCTAACATAATTGTTGGAAATTTGGAAGAGTCCAAAGAATCTGATCCCGTGAAAAGGCACGATCACGACCTTAAATTAGTGAGTAGTATTATAAGGAAGATGCTCCCAGCGAATTTCCCTGGAGTATCGATTAAAAAGCTGATTAGAATAGGCAAAAGAGATGATGAATGTTCTAGTCAGCGTAGGTTGCTTAAAGTAGTCTTAGGTTCTCCTGATGAACGGAATCATCTACTGGCTAATGTACACAACCTTGCCGGGTCAGGAATTTCAGCCAGACCTGATTTATCTCTTGAAGACAGACTTAAACGAAAAGAAGTTTTGTCCCAGCTAGAAACAAGACGTAAAAATGGTGAGACTAACCTTAAACTGGTGGGTTTTCAAATAGTCAGGTCTTGGAAACGTATGCTTCCAAGACCTGTGTGGATAAGCCAGACCGCATAGGAAGCCTGAAGGTAGTGTACACTAATATACGTAGTATCGGGAACAAATTTCACGAGCTAGGTGTATTAGTAGAAGACCTTAGCCCAGGTATTGTGGCCATTACTGAAACATGGCTTGTTTCTGGATTAGATGACACACCTGAGCTATGCGGATTTAGTTGCTTGCGCAGCGACAGGGTTAAGGGTCGTAGAGGTGGCGGGGTTGCTCTGTACATCAACAACTCCCTACATGTTCGTTCCGTGAAATCTGAAGCTCATGACAGTGGGACAGGTGAGGTAATTAGCTGTGAAGTAAGCTTTGCAACCGGCACTCTACTCATTGGAGTTCTGTATAGAAGTCCCTATTGTCAGTGTGATGACTTCATTTTAGATCACCTCAAACAATGGAGTAAACACAGTAGCTGTCTTATTCTAGGTGATTTTAATGCACCTCATATAGACTGGGTAGCTGTCACATCTCCAGGATCCGCTGATAAGTTTGACAGCCGGTTACTCTTGACTACCATGGAAAATGCCCTGACACAACATGTCTTAGGTATTACAAGATTCGGTTCTACCCAAGGATCTTCCTTGCTGGACTTAGTGCTTACTCATGACAACGACGACGTGGATGGTCTAGTTATTCATCCACCTCTAGCAGACAGTGATCATGGGGTGTTAGATTTTAACTTAAGGGCTGGCAATTTAGTCAGTTTTCAACCCAAATCCCGGCCTAGTGTTTGGCATGCTGACATAGTGGCTATAAAGGAGCGTGCTTCAACTGCCGACTGGTCAGTCAACATTGTCTCATCCATTGAAGATGAATGGGATAGATTTAAGAATACACTTGAGAGGGTTACCACTGATCTCATCCCCTGGAGGGTTCCTAAAAGGCCAACAAATCGGCCACCATGGATAAATAGACAAGCTATAACACTCCTAAGACGGAGAAAAAGGTTCTGGAATCTCTTTGTTTCTACTGGGCTACAGCAGTTCCGGCTGAAATACTGTGAAACCAGAAACCAGTGTAAAACTTTGATCCACCAGTCAAGGATAGCTTACGAAACCCAGTTAGTTAAAAGTTCACCAGGCTGCCCAAAAAGACTCTTCTCATATATCAAGAGAAGAACACGTAAGAGTGATGCTATCCCACCTCTTATGCTTGAAGATGACCAGACAAACATGGCTGAGGATAACTTGACTAAGGCTGAGGCTTTGTCCAAGCACTTTAGTCAAGTATTCTCTGATAATATTGATACCAGCTTTGTAAATTTTCCAAAAGGTAACTTGAAAATGGCACCCTTATACATTGGAAAGGATACTGTCCTAAAGTGGCTTCTAAGGCTCAATCCTGGTAAGTCCAGTGGCCCTGATGAACTCCACCCACGTATATTAACAGCATTGGCTGAAAGCATAGCCGAGCCATTGTCGGTAATCTTCAATATGTCTCTGGACCAGTCTAAATGTCCAAGAGACTGGAAAGATGCCATCATTAGTCCGGTCTTCAAAACCGGATCTAGAAACTTAGTTCAGAACTATCGTCCTGTTAGTTTGACCAGTATTGTTGTTAAACTACTAGAAAGAATAATTCGTGATGCTATCATTCAGTTCATTGAAGGGAACAAACTTTTCGCTGTGGAACAGCACGGTTTTAGAGCAGGTCATTCTTGCTTGACCAACCTTCTTTTGGCCAGAGAAAGTTGGGCAAGCTCAGCTGATGCTAATATACCGGTGGATGCCATATTCATAGACCTTAGCAAGGCGTTTGACAGGGTTTCTCATTCAGGTCTTCTAGTAAAGTTAGGTAGTCTGGGAATCAATAAAGTGGTTACCGACTGGATTCAAGACTTTCTAAAGGACAGAAGACAAAGAGTACGAGTTAACGGGGTTTTATCAACATGGGAATCGGTTAAGAGTGGCGTTCCTCAGGGTACAATTCTAGGCCCACTTCTTTTCCTGATTTATGTTAATGAGATTCCATCGGTAGTTAAGTCATCCTGCTTACTGTTTGCTGATGACATCAAGATATGGAGGGCTTTGCACGATGACAGTGATCAACTTGCTTTGCAGGAAGATTTAAACTTGTTAAGTGATTGGTGTAAGCACTGGGCCTTGGAGATTAACTTAAGCAAGAGTGTAGTTATGCATGTATCCCATAGTCACGTGCACAATTACTCAATGAATGGCATTACTCTCCCAGTGGTCACTGAGTACAAGGACTTGGGAGTGGTTGTGCAGCATGACTTGAAAACAGCAACAAACTGTAGAACTGCAGCCACTAAGGGTTTTCGAATGTTATGGGCCATACGCAAGGCTTTTGCGAACTTTGACGCTGATATATTTCGTATATTATATCCGACTTATATCAGACCTCATTTGGAATATGGGATCCAGGCAGCGAGCCCGTGTTTCAAATACGAAATAGACTTATTAGAAAGGGTGCAAAGAGTAGGAACTAAGCTAATAAAGGGTTTCTCAACCCTGTCATATGAGGAGAGGTTAAGTCGACTGGGTTTATTTCCACTGTCATACAGACGACTTAGGGGTGACCTAATACTAGCATACCGTATCCTAAGAAATGATTTTGGAGCTAATTTATCTAAATTATTTCTTCCTTCTAGCACCAACCAATTGCGAGGACATCACCTCAAGGTTCAAAAACCACGGTCGAATCGTCTGCGTCTGGAAATCCGTTTTTCGCATCGAATTGTGAACCATTGGAACTCCCTACCGGAACACGTCGTATCAGCGCCATCCGTTGATTCATTCAAGGCGAGATTGGACCTCCTGTATGCAATAAATCGAAAGGATTAACACAGGCATATAGCCTACTATCCTAAATAAATTGTGAACTGTGTCCTCTCTCACCTCTACAGTAAAGTTCAACGGAGATGCTACTCACAAAACAACCTAGGCAGGCTCAGATGCATGTTGAAAGACACTAACTGGGACTTATTTACATAACAAACATTAGATGAAACAATCACAAACACTACCGATTATCTTAAATTCTGTTTCGAAATATGTTGTCCTAAAGAAACATTATTCATTCGATTTAATCGCTTATCTTCGCCATATCTCAAAAAGCTACGTGAATTGAAATAGAATTTTAAGATTATTTATTATCCTCCTCTGATTTGACTGACCGTTAGGCGAAGACGCTGAAAAAATGCAGTCTTCTGAAAACCTTGAGCTGTATTTTACGAATGTTTAGCATGCGATTCGCTCCCACCAAATGCAAGATGATGTTACAGGACTGGACTACATCGACGCCTAGTTTAAAAATAGGAAGTGAAGTGGTAGAGCACGTTGACCGCTTCACTTATTTGGGAAGTACCATCAGCCAGTGCCAACGGGTTGATCTCTGACGAAATCTCAGCACGGATACAGGGGCTCGTTTCGCATTTGCCAGTTTACGCCGTCTCTGGTGTTGATGACATATTCGACTATCGACCAAAAGGTGGGTGTACTGCTCATCAGTCCGCTCCGTCCTCCTTTATGGCCAGCTGTGAGACCTGGCCACTGAGATTGGAAGACATGAAAAGATTAGCTGTCTTTGATCATAGGTCCCTGCGTTCTATCTCCCGTGTGAAGTGGCATAATAAGGTGAGCAATATTGAGGTTAGGCGCCGGTCGAGTTCCAGGTAAACAGGGGAAATCAATCGATGAAGTTGTGAAGTTACACATATTGAGATGGTTAGGACATGCGTAATGTATGCCTTCTCATCGCCTTCCTTGACGAGCAATGTTAGCGGATATAGGGTCAGGTTGGAAAAAAGCTAGCTAGCGGCGGTCAAATAACAACTTGGCACCTATCAATGAAATCCACAACAGTTGGTCGAAGCCATGTAGGAAGGTCTAGACTGGCTTCCTGACTGGTTGGGGTCCTCGGGACGGTGAAAATCAATGATGGCTAGAAACAATTGGTGACATGGCTCAAAATCCTCGTTGTCCATGGCTGGTGCAGATGCATCCACTCCTTGTGACTTATGATTTCCAATGAAACTATATTGTTCTTCGTTATTACTCTTCCTTTGTCTCACACCTCTGCTTACTGTCTGTATTATGCTTTTTCTTGTACTTTCTTCTCCTGCATCGCGTGCTAGACGGAGTGTGGCGACTTGAACTTCCGCCCATATGTGCAAAGTTCTATTGTGGTGAGAGCAGGCTGCTAGCCGATTGGTTGGCACTAATCTACGTTAAGGTCTAGGTCACTAATATGGGCCGTGAACAAGGCTGAGTCAACAACCAATCACAGCGAAGTTAACGTGGCAAAATATGATTCGCAGATAGAGAACTCTGTTTGTCAAGGAATCCCGAAACAACCAATCAGAAGCCTGCGTTTGTCTACCTAAACAACCAATCAGATGACTGCGCTTGTCTATAATAATGTTGTCTGAAATATGTATAAATACGTGTTGATTTTCATAATAAAACGATCTGTTGCCTGGCCCTTGTCTTCTGTTGTTACATTTGGTGTCGCTGCCTACCGACAAATGGAAAGCCTATGCCCTGCTGTTTTCGATGGAGACATATGGATCTTCGGGCAGGACTTCAAGGCTTCTGCGCAGTTGAGTGGCGTTCAAGATCTGTCAGCGATGGAGCTGCTACTTGGGACGCTGCTGGGAGGTCGGGTGAAAGCAGCATATGAAAGTGTGAGCCGAAGTATGGACGAATGTTCGACAGGGTCAGGCAAACAGTTTCCAAAGTGGGAAGGACCATATATGGTCACTTCGAGATGGGGTTACGCAGACACAGTCGCAATGGCGAACAATGAGAGGCGCGTGAACGTCAGCGAGCTCCAGAAATGGATACAGCGAGACAAGCCAACGATGACGCCTGCACCAAGTAGATCAAGCCGACTTCAGTCGCACGTATTTGACGGGGGGACGAGTGTGGTGAGAGCAGGCTGCTAGCCGATTGGTTGGCACTAATCTACGTTAAGGTCTAGGTCACTAATATGGGCCGTGAACAAGGCTGAGTCAACAACCAATCACAGCGAAGTTAACGTGGCAAAATATGATTCGCAGATAGAGAACTCTGTTTGTCAAGGAATCCCGAAACAACCAATCAGAAGCCTGCGTTTGTCTACCTAAACAACCAATCAGATGACTGCGCTTGTCTATAATAATGTTGTCTGAAATATGTATAAATACGTGTTGATTTTCATAATAAAACGATCTGTTGCCTGGCCCTTGTCTTCTGTTGTTACACTATGTCGAAAACTGACAGACTGGTGGTAATAATATCTTCCATACATATTTCTGGTATTTTGCATTGAGTCAATTATGTTGTATATGGTTTGTTAGGTGTGTAGACTCGATGAACCAGGCAGGATTCAGTAACCAATCTCTCTCTCTCTCCATCTACTTATATTATTTTTAGAATTTGGACACTCTCCCACCCTATTTTGTAGTTGTGTTTTAAGGCATGCAGTGTTGTTCTTGGTGTGCTGTTTTCTGAATTACTTATCTTCTTGAGGTCAACCATTCTTACCTTTGCTAAATTCATACACACTGTACACTTTGTAAACATTGTCTACAATAAAACTGTAATTATTATCATTATTATGGTTGACAATATATTTGAAGAGTAATTTTTATTGACTGCATCAATATCCAGTTGTCAAAGATCAGTAGAATTACAGTCACAAGCAACTTTTGCCAAACATAAGATCAGAGTATAATTAATTGGTGGATGGTGGGGTGACTAGCAGTGTAATCCAGGGTAACGCGCATTTTTTTTCTCCTATTTTGAGAGTTGTCTGCCAGCTAGATGTGCATTCTGCAGTGAGTGGTGATGCTCCGACCAAGGCTGGAACCCAGTGCCCACAGTTTCAAACGTCAAAATCGAATTACATAATTAATATTACGTGTTACTCATGAGGGGGGCGTGTGGCTCTCGTGGCCCAATCGGTCCTGTGGATGACACTTTGGCGTTTGAACCTATGGCCACTGGGTTTGAGCCTCAGTGGGAACATCATCACTCACTGGGAAATGCAGGTACATCCAGATGATGAATCTGGAATAGGATGAAATACGCGTTATCCTTGATTCCATGAATCAATAGACACATCGAGATAGACAAAATTTATCAACGGAAAACAAAGAAACCTTACACACACACAAAGGGTCAAATTTCAAGTCAAAGAAACAATCAGTTCCAATAGAAGTAGTCTAAAAGGTATGAAAACACACAAAAATAACCAATCTCGTCCAAGGTCACCGACCAGCAGAGATGATTAATATACTCGTGGAGAAATTTAAAAGTTCACTTCAATTCGAATTGAAGTATGGGCGCTGAAGATGTCGCCTGGTTGGGGGGTGGCGATGAAAGCTTCCTGAACACAACCACATCAAAATGTGATGATATATCTGCTTTGTCTCTGCTTCAAGAAATCCATAATATCTAGTTGAAAGTCTATTGTTAGATGTTCAGAAGTACATTTTGACAATCAAAGACATAAGTGAAGAACAGTTATCTCATGGATTGCAATATGTTGCCAGCCACAATCAGACCATTCTTCAAGATTAGTAGGAATTTGCGAATTAGACAGGAGCTTGTAAACACTTTAAATATGACCTATTAGAGGTCATATCTCAATCGACTAAAACAAACTGAACGAGTGGGAAAATGTATACAATAGAGAGAGAGAGAAGGAAGTTTTGGGTTATCCAGGCTCTCTCCACCTGATCAGTTGTGGTGACATACAAGTAGGACCGACAAAATGTTCTAACATCCTCATTGGAAAGAACGTGTTCCCAAAGGGTTATTATTAAATCAAATAGAAGATCAAAATGTTATTGTTATCATTATTATTATTATTGTTCCCTTGGTTTCTAGTGGAACACAGGGCTTCAACTTCACGTCTCCACTTGTTACTGTCTTCTGCTGTACTTTTCACCTGAATCCATGTTAGTCCATACTGTTTCAACTCCTCTTCACACGATCTCCTCCATGTCAATCTACAATTGCTACTACTACTAATACTATAACGACAGGAGACAAGGGCCAGGCAACAGATCGTCTATTGAGAAAATCAACAGATATTTATAGATTTTTATGTACATTTTTTATATTCGGTATTGTTAGCATAGAAACAACGTCTTCTGATTGGTTGTTTTCCTGCTGAAGGTTATTCTGTCATCGCTTTGTTGCTGTTTCTTAGACAGGCCGGTGATATATTTATTTGCTAATCGTATCCGCCCACGCTAAGTTTACTGTGATTGGTTGTTGAATTAGTCTTTGTTCTCGTGTGTTTTTGTTGTTGTCATGATCAAGATTTAGGATGTAAACATTGACGGCAATTGATGTCGCTGCAGGTATCGGCTAGCAGGCACAGCTCTCCCATCACACTGACATGTCAGTCTTTTAGCATACATCACAATATCGATTTTTTTTTGTTTTCTCTTTTTTTTTATTCTTCTACTTTTAGCGAACGTAATTATGGTGCTGTCCAACTGATTTGGGGTGATATTCAACAAACAAAATGGTTAGATCGTTGGAATCCAGTGTCAAAAGATGTTCCAATGACAATATTACATCATCACCCGTGTTATTATTCACCTGAACTATTACCGAATAAAGATCTATTCGATGTTGATCTGGCACTGTCAACTATTTCCACTACATTGTCTACATTAGGTGTTGAGGTTAGTCTTTATGCGCTATTCTATACTATATGTATATTCTGTGTGTGTGTGTGAGTCCCATTTTGTTTCTTCTGTTGATGTTTATGTGCAGGTATACATACCATTGACTGGTTTGGGATGATTAGTTGTTATTAACTACTCACAGGAACCAGTAGTGCTTGCCTGTCATCCGGACATCCAAAAAACTGGATGTCCATTTCTTTCGTTTGGGGCTGATTTCATCAGTGGTGTACCCTGTGTTTTTTAATCATATATACACCCTTCGAGTCAGTGCCACTTCACGGATCAGAGACTTGGCGCGTCTCATCAAAAGCACATCAAACAAAATACACACCTTCATTAACAGGTGTCTTCGCTCAGTACCACTCAAGTTCAAATGGCCGGCCAGAAAAGATCAGCAACAGGGAGGGATCTCTGGCAATGAACAAACCAACCAGGAACCGATTGTGCAACAAATATGCAAGAAGAAATGGAGGTGGATTGGATTGGTCATACTCTGAGAAAAAGACCGTCAAGTGACATCACTAGACAAGCCATAGGTCGACAGGAACCCAAAAGAGAGCCGGCGAGTTGGTCATCCAAAGGTGACTTGGAGGGAGTCATGTGAAGAGGAGATGAAAGCATGTGAGTAGACTTGGAGACACGTGAAAACTCTAGCAGAGAACCGAACGCAATGGAGACGCTCGGCTTAAACCCTTTGTTCCTCTAGGAATTTTAGGAAGTAATAATAATAATTCACCCTTCGACATACTTACTGTCCTGTGTCCAATAATTGTCATGTTTCTTGACCAAAGGGGGTTATTCGATTCTGTCGACCGAGAGGTACTCTGTCAATGTCTGGCTGTCACGGGAATGTCGAGAGAATACATTACACTGTCAAGACACTCTATTCGAAGTCATGCAGTCAGCCAGGTAAAGCTTACGGCGAGTTGTCATCTGAAGTGGTGACAACTAGTGGTGTCCGACAGGGATGCCCACTATCCCCATTTCTATTCAGTTTCATCATGGATGTACTAATGGACTTAACCCTAACTCACTTGAGTGACTCATAGATTGACTTGTTACCACCAGGGTATGAATAATCTCGTTAACTTAGAATATGCAGATGATATAGTCCTCCCTCCTGGGTGAAGACGCTGACAAAATACATTAGAGTCTTCTGAACACCTTGATCACTGATCAGCAATCTTCGAATGTTTGCCATGTGATTCGCTCCCTCTGTCAAATGTGTGATGATGAGGCTACAGGACTGGACTACACTGACTCTTAGCTTAGAAATAGGGAGTGGAGTGATGGCTGAGCTTGTTGACCACTTCACTTATTTGGGAAGTTGCACTGGCGCCCAACAGACCGATTTCTGACGAAATATCAACACGGATACAAAAGGTTCATGTGGCATTCGTCAACCTACATGATCTCTGATGTAGACATAATATCCGGCTGACATTCTTTCGATCGGTCAAATGATGCGTCTACTGCTCAGCAGTAGTTCGCTGCGTCGTCTTCCTCTACAGCTGTAAGCAAGACATGGATATTGAAATGTGGTAGGCATGAAAAGCCTAGCCATCGTTTTTCACACGTTTCATCTCTCGTCTTAGGTGGTGGTAATAGTGTGTGTTTGGGTAATATTGAAGTTTTAGGCATAGATTGTAAGATAAGGAGAGAGAGAGAGAATCAATCTATGAGTTTGTGAAGCTACACTGACCAAGATGGATAGGACACGCATGTTGCGCATTTCTAACCTTCACCTTTTTCGACGGTCAAATGCTGTCGAAGAGCTGGTGGTGTTGTTAGAACAAAAACTCGGAATCCGTGCATAAAATGCTTGACAGTTGATTTGAATCAACCACATAGGGAGGTGTAAGCTTCCTGATTGAGATCGTTGGCCTGCTGTGATCCACTGGCTGGAAACAAATCAATGTTGAAAGCAGTCAGTCTACTCTCGCTTCCTGTTGATATCCGGTAGAAATAATAATAATAACAATAATCTCTCGTCAGACAAGCATACTACGCAGACAGACACTACCTGTCTGTCTGTTTTCGACATAGAACTTTGCACCGCAATGTGCACCAGTTCAAGTCGCCACACTCCCTCCATGTAGCAAACAAAGCAACAGAAGAAATTAGAAGAAATGCATATTCGAGACAGTAGACAGGGATATGAGTAAAAAGGAATACTAATAACGAACAACAAAACAGTTTCATTGGAAATCATAAGTCACATGCAGTGGATGCATCTGCACCAGCCATTGACAACGGAGATTTTGAGCCATATCACCAATTGTTTCCAGCCTTCATTGGTTTTTACCGTTCCCAAGGATCCCAACCAGTCAGAAACTCTACGCCTTCCTACGTGTCACGTCTACGCCAGAGGCGGCGTAAACTGGCATATGCAAAACTAGCCCTCTGTATCCGTGCTGAGATTTCGTCAGAGATCGACCAGTTCGGTCTAATGGTACTTCCCCAATAAGTGGAGCGGTCAACGTGCTCTACCACTTCACTTCCTATTTCAAACTGGGAGTCAGTGTAGTCCAGTACTGTAATATCATCTCACATCTTACATTACATGCCAAACATTCGAAGATTGCTGATCAGTGATCAAGGTGTTCAGAAGACTCTAATGTATTTTGTCAGCGTCTTCACCAGGAGGGAGGACTATATCATCTGCATATTCTAAGTTAACGAGATTATTCATACCCTGGTGGTAACAAGTCAATCTATGAGTCACTCAAGTGAGTTAGGGTTAAGTCCATCAGTACATCCATGATGAAACTGAATAGAAATGGGGATAGTGGCATCCCTGTCGGACACCACTAGTTGTCACCACTTCAGATGACAACTCGCCGTAAGCTCTTACCTGACTGACTGCATGACTTCGAATAGAGTGTCTTGACCAGTGTAATGTATTCTCTCGACATTCCCGTGACAGCCAAACATTGACAGAGTATCTGTCGGTCGACAGAATCGAATGACGCCTTTAGGTCGAAAAATATAATGATTGTTGGACGCCGGTAAGAATTCCTTATTTTTCTAGAATCTGTCGAAAGGTGACTGTAGGTATGATCAATACACTCACTCTCTTCCTGGTCTAAAGCCGCCTGCCTGCCTGTTCTCTCATTTTTGTGTGCCTCCCGAGCACCACTTGGTGCACAGACAGACACTTGTGAGTCTATACTATCCTACTGCATGCTGTTTTCTCTCCTTCCTCCACCTGCACACACACCACTCTTTTTCTGTTTTTTGTGTTTTCTAGGTGGCAGTTGAATATGCCAATATTTGTTTAAATTCACATGTCAACTTCTTCACTGTCGTCTATAATCAAAGTAATCTGGGCTTCTGTAAAGATCGTAATGGTGTCAGCTTTTAGAAAGACAAAAAAAGACAACGTGTAGCTGTCGTCGTTTTCGTTATCTTAGTCGTTGTCCTTTTCCTCGCAATACACACACACACACACATATCATAGAGCTTTATTCATCATTTTGTGATGATACTCAGGGATTACAATCCTCCGTGAACACGCATTCACAAACACACACAAACACCTAAACATGCACATATCAGTGAGTATTTTGTTTTGTTTTACGTTTGACTTGTTTTTCAATTTATAATTATTATTGTTGTTGTCGTTGCCTTTATTTCTCCTTCCCTCCCTCCCTCCCTCCCTCGCTCGCTCTCTCTTTCTTTCTCAGGGACAATCAATTTTATCGATTTTTTTTGTTTTCACTGATTGATTTTTTCTATTGAGTATCATTTTGCACACTTTTTCTATATATTCTTTATTTACTACAATCATAATATATCACCCTAGATTAGAATTGATTAGATTAGATTGCATAATAATAATTGGTGACACTTTATGACAGGCTGTGACAAGATATTATATATATATATATATACATTAGACAAAATAAACTATTGATGTAATTGGGCGCCAAAAACAAGTTGAGTACTTCTCTTCTCGTCACTCGGTTGTTGTAAATTGAACAAGGACAAAAAAGTGTTTAGCCGACTGCATACATTACCAAAAAAACAACAACAAAAAAAGAGCTTATGTCATCATCCTACTGTGTCTGTTAACAAAGTTATTGATACAAAGGATGGATGGAAGGAAGAAACTGTGAGAAGTTAAATGCCCAATCGAAATACTAGGGTGTGTTTTGATGTTGTTGGTGGTGGTGGTGGTCCATTGGCTATAAATGCTGCGTGTGTTTATGCCAATCAAGGGAACTCCCGGTTGGTTGGCAGTAAATCCGTGATACAGGAGAGGAGGGGAGAACTTGGGAGTAAATATTATGCAGCTACTAGTACTAGCGAGATTTTGAAAGCGCTCTTGAAGTCACACAAAACGCATGATTGACTATTTCTAACAGTTAATTAGACAAGTATTCTTGAAAAAGTCCAGGTGGAGGACGACGATCTCGAAGTTTAAGACTATTTGGTTACAAGAAAAAACAAGGTTGAATTGGACTGGAATAAAAAATCTAGTCTTTCACCTTGATAGTTCCTTCCTCACCTCTATCAATAACTCTGTTGTTCAGGGTAAGCGATTTGAGAATATCGTCGAAATACTAACACACTCACATACACACAAGTGAAGTACAAATGTGATCAAATTTGAGTGTCAGTCAACTTACTGTGCCATATTGATTGGTGTTCTCTTTGACTTTTGCTTTGTATAAACAGTGGCGTCTTTGTGTTTGTGTGGTTCCCAGCTTTTCTCTCTCTCTCTCTCCTCTGCCTGCCACCTGCTACCTACTTCACTGCTGTACATCTTACGCGTCTCCAGTATCATTGTGATTAAGATTCTGTGCTGTTTTTTTCTGCGTGTTTGTTCATGCTTTCTACTCATGTAATAATAATAATATTCTAACATCGTTGAGACACCCCACCGTTGTCTTTCTGTTCTCTTTTCTATTATTAAATTGCACAATCATTAGTACAAAAAATAAATATTGATTTTGTTTTTGTTTGTTTTTTTTGCTGTGAATTGTATGTTTAATGCTGGCTGGTATTTGTTTAGCCAATACTTGATGTATTCTTCATATCTCTTGTCTAATTATGTTTCTAATGCATACGAATTAAATGTGGCTGCGTTTCCTTTTGCATTCTATTGAACATATTGAATATGTTAGGTGAAGATGAAAAAATCAATCGCAAGGTAGGTAGGTAGGTAGGTGTTTTTTGCGTATAGTATAGGTAGGTTAATAGTGCGTCGGTGGCACAGCGATATAGAATGCTTGTCAACCACTGAAGTGGTTCGGGGTTTGATCCTCGGCCACTGATGTACTACTCTTTTATCTCGTTAAGCCAGTAATAAGACTGGTCTGGTAAAGAGGGAAGGTTAGGCTGGGCATGAGGCAGGTTAGCAAATTCTCAGCACGGATACAGGGGGCTCGTTTCGCATTTGCCAGTTTACGCCGTCTCTGGCGTAGACGAGATATCCGGCTATCGACCAAAGGACGGGTGTACTGCTCAACAGTCCGCTCCGTCCTCCTTTATGGCCAGCTGTGAGACCTGGCCACTGAGAGTGGAAGACATGAAAAATTAGCTGCTGTCTTTGATCATAGGTCCTGCGTTCTATCTCCCGTGTGAAGTGGCATAATAAGGTGAGCAATATTGAGGTTAAGCGCCGGTCGAGTGCTAGGTAAACAGGGGAAATCAATCGATGAAGTTGTGAAGTTACATCGACTCAGTGGGATCGTGACATGTGTTACGTATGCCTACTCATCGCCTTCCTCGACGAGCAATGTTAGCGGATATAGGGTCAGGTTGGAAAAAAGCTAGCTAGCGGGAGTCAAACAAAAACATGGCTTCACCAGTCAATGAAATCTACAACAGTTAGTCTAAGCCAGTCACGTAGGAAGGTGTAGAGTTCCTGATCGGTTGGGGTCCTCGGGACGGTAAAAATCAATGAAGGCTGGAAATAATTGGTGACATGGCTCAAAATCGTTCTCGGTGATGGCTGGTGCAGATGCATCCACTCCTTGTGACTTATGATTTCCAATGAAACTGTTTTGTTCTTCGTTATTAGTATTCCTTTTGACTCATATCCCTGTCTACTGTCTCGAATATGCATTTCTTCTAATTTCATCTCTTGGTTTGTGTGCTACATGGATGGAGTGTGGCGACTTGAACTGGTGCACATTGGTTAAAAATTCCATGTCGAAAACAGACAGTCTAGAGGTGATATGTTTTTGTTGTTAGCAATAACTGTTACTGATCCGGCTGAAACGACTTAAAAACCACTGATTGAGTCATGGCTAGGGGTTGAACCAGATTACTACGGATAGTCAACGGATACCGTCACACCAAGATTGAAATGGACTGCCGAAAAAAAGAGCATGAAAATGGTTCACTACTTCGGTCATTCCTGGATATATATCTTAATTCACGTATCACCCAACAGCTAAATGGTCGATGGAAACTCTCACAACTTCTGTGTGATGATGAACTCGTGAGGCTTGGCGTAAAAATGGTAGCTTTGAATTTGTGAAAGAACAAGAGATTTAAATATCTTTTGATATATCCGCCTTATTCATCGGTGTACAGTTGACTGAGACTGGGGATTATATATATATATATGATGAGATTACTAAGCGAAACATAGACATCGGCATTTCTGTATCCTCCTTGAAGGAACTTATTTTAAGGTGTACAGTGAATGTTCATTTCTTATTAACAATAAGTAATACTACAGACAAACTGTGATAGGAGTGTGGCTATGGGCTCCTCATAAGGTCCAATCATAGTTAATTTTTTCCTTGTTAAGTTAGAGAATGGACAATTGAAAGGAGTAATTCATAAGTTAGAATTTTTACTGTCGATATTTGGATGATACTTTTCTGGTTATGAAAAGGAGAATGATCCACGAGGAGGCTTTGTGTGCTCTTGGGCGGTTTTTACTTCCCGGCTGCCCACACCGTAGAAGTTGATTGATTCTTCAGGTACTTGAAACAGAAAGAGGGTTAGTGTTACCCGACCGCAGAGTTCAGGGGACAACTGCTTGAGGCTTGTCACGCAGAGCCTATATGATTTGGTTTCTTGGTTCGGTTCCTTATTAGTAAGCTTACCGTCGGTTACGGGGACCACCTTAGGTTAAGTCGGGATGTACAATTGTTGGAGTCGATCTTTTCTAACCCTCTCTCTCCAGAGTGGAGAGAAGGCATGCTGGTCATCTGAGGGAAATACCTCACTGCTGTTACATCCCTTTTCCCAGCGACAGTGCGACTTCGTCCACAGACCCTCAGCAGATTGTAAAAAGAAGTTCTTACTACTCAATGCCGGTAACTGCTTTTATTCTAATCGCTATCCTAACAACCTTCCTAGCATGGTAGGTAGGACCTGCAGGAACAATAGTTCCGGTTAGTTTAGCCTGTTGGGTCATCGCGATTTGCAAGCAGCTATCGATCGGGCTGGTTTATGAAAAACAAGAATGAAGTGACGAACACACTCGGCAAGTGAAATATATTGTACCTTCAACAATAAACTTTCCTTCATAGAAAGAGATGATGACAATATTTCATTCCTGAAGGTCTCTTTGACTAAGAGAGAGAGGATGACAGTACACTAAGAAGGATTGTTTTTATAGGGAAATTACATCGACCATTTAGTACATTCACCATTTTTTTGAGTTTTGCATCTCTGAAAAATATAAACGGAACTCGGTAGAGTGTCTGGTCGAACGACTGTCTCAATTGTGAAGAGCTTAAGATTATCAAAGAATTACTTAGTCAAAATCAACTCCAATGTGAAGTCAGTCAGTGCTACTATACGGATCAGAGACTTGGCGCGTCATAAAGAGCACCTCAAACAAACTACAGACCTTCATCAACAGCTGTATTCGCTCAGTACCACTCAAGTTCAGATGGCCGGCCAGAAAAGATCAGCAACAGGGATCTCTGGCTGATAGCGAGCCAACCAGGAACCGATTGTGCAACAAATAGGCAGGAAGAAATGGAGGTGGATTGGATTGATCATACTCTGAGAAAAAACACCGTCAAGTGACATCACTAGACAAGCCATTGCTCGAGTAGAACCCGCCTGAATGGGAAGCGGCGAGTTGGTCGTCAGAGCGAGGGTGACATGGAGGAGGTCATGTGAAGAGGAGATGAAAGCATGTGGGCTGACTTGGAGCCAGGTAAAAACTATAGCAGAGAACCGAACTCAATGGAGACTTGGGCGGCTGAAGCCCTATGTTCTTCTAGGAATTAAAGGCAATAATAATGATGATACTGTTATGTATCCATATAATGTGTGTTTTGTTTGACAGTCTGTCCTTGGTGATATGTATCCATATAATATGTGTGTTCGTTTGACAGTCGGTTATATTTTGCTATGTATACATGGATCGATATTCCATTAAAATTAGCCAATCATGTTAAGACTGTCTATTGATTTGTTCATTTTGAAAATTCGCTCACACACTTGTTCGGACATTCTTATATATTTTGCTCTCACACTCTTGTGTGACATATATTGATTCTCCTGGTGTTTTGGAAAATAGAAGTATCATCGCAAACCTAGTGGCCTTCTGATTTCCGTCTTTCTTGCGTCAGGACTATTAAATTCTCGACCAGTACATAACAGATACTTAGTAAAAATGGTTATCCATGTAAATTCGTTAAGAAAAACGCATGTATTTAGGACTGAAATAAGTCGTTAGGTAGGGCAACAGCTCTAAAAACACAACCAATGTGCATGAAACTCTCATTTCTCGATGATAACGACAATCAGTGAAATCGTAGCACACAAGGCTTGAAGAATTTAGGTAAAATAGCATTCAATACAGCAGCAAGAGCAAAAGTACTACACGTTGTCTTTTCACTACCACGCCTGAATTAACTTCTGAGAAATACGGATAAATACGTTTTTTGATGAAATAGCATTCCTATGCATAGCTTGTACTATAACAAAATCAATAATAATACTTTGAGGAAATTCAAGTTGTAGTTGATCGCTGTCACAATTGTAACTTTTTAAGTAGGCTGAAACGTAAAGGTAAATTTGTTCTAACGATAATTGATATATATAATACACTCATCCCCGAACCAGTGAATTATAAGGACATATTAGTTGAGTAATAAATCATTTATCAAAATCTGCGGGCGTCAAATTTGAAATAATTGCACGTAATTATTCAGTCAGTAATGATTGATGAATAGATTTTAAATCAGATTACATTTATCAATAACTCCATTATGGAGAAGATTTTTATTTTGATAAATCACACAGTGTGTTTGTTATACAGTAATATTGACTGATGCGACCACACGCTTTGAGCACAAACTATTTCCACTCATAATCATATCAAGTCACTCACTTACACAACTTTTTCCTTCATTTATATACGTTTGTGTAATTGACTAGATATTTGAATAAAAATCAATATAGGATGATGTACATACAGGAATAATAATAATATGAGTGTTATTGATCGATTACAATCAGATTGGAAATAAGATGAGTGTTTTTATTGTCAAAATAAATAAGTAACTTGTTAGAATGTTATGATGTGCGTGAATTGAAATAGAATTTTGAGATTAATTATTATCCTCCTTATATTCCATATTTCTGGTATTTACATTGAGTCATTTCTGTTGCATGTGTCCGCGGTAGATTCGATGAACCAGGCAGGATTTAGTAATCAATGTCTCTCCCTACCTACATAGATTACTTCTTAGAGCCTTAACCCTCTCCCACCCACTCTATTGTGTGGTTGTTGGTTAGTGCATATAATTTAATCGCTGAGCTTTTTTTTCTAAATCTTCTAATCTTCTCGGGTCAACCATTCTTACCTTAGCCACTAAATTTTTATGTTCCGACAATCTGATTACCCTCACGATCTGCTAGCTTGACCTATGTAGTTCATTCAACTCACAGTCATAGCAAGGTATTTTGTAAATTATATTATTTTGTCAAATGGGATCAACCTAGGGGGTCCTTTAACCTATAGAGCTTGTCTCTGAGTGAGTCTGTCGGAGCGTTTGAATGCCACCCTAATCAATTTCACTCATGTATATAAATGAAGGAAAAATGTTGTGTGAGTAGTGACTTGATATAATTATGAGTGGAAATAGTTTGTGCTCGAAGAGTG